ATATGTAAATGACGCAAACGAAAATAGCATCGAGTGAGTGAGTAGGTAAGTACGCACCAGCACCCACCACCACTACACCACGCGACACGCACCGCGCGGGGTCATTGCGCGCAGGGACGGATTCAGATACTCATCCTTAGGTCGGCTTAGGTAGTTTTTTTTACTCTATTGAAGTTTCGTCGTAAAAAATAGACGGCTATGTCTATGCTATGCTATACTCAACATTTTTTTATTATGCTACTTCGTATTTTATGATGATTTTCCTTCTAAGTAAATGTAATATATTTGCCTTGACCTAATTTCCATCGAAACTTATTCATGCATTGCACGCAAATTAAACATGTACTACGAGGACTATAATACGAGGTAGTAATAGTACAGCTGAAGAATAGAATATGAGCATTGGTACTAACTCATTGTTGCAAGCAGCGAGCGGCCGAGCTGGGCGCTGTGTGGAGGTCGCGCGTTGTTGGTTGAAGATGCGGCAGAATACTTCCGGACAAAACACACAATCTCACTAGGCAACTACTACCTAACCGCCTGCCTATTATTGTTATGAAGGTCGCACTCGCTCGCAACAATAATGATTCTAACTCTACATGCACTGAGCATTACACTCACCACACGCGCTAGAGTAAGCCATATTACGATATCTTAATCCCTTTTAGTAAAATATATAAGTAGTCAATAGGATGGACCCATATTTTATTTTATATTACGAGGTCTTAATCCCTTTTAGAAAAAATATAAGTCGTGAATAGGATGGACCCATGTTTTATTTTTGGGTCTAACCGACACGTCTCAGTGATTTGATTTGATTACCTATGATAGATTAAACCTACCCCGGACGGAAGTCTTGGGACAATCATGTTTACATATTACCTTAAAAACTTATTATATTTTATTAAGGTCAATAAAACCCCTTGTGTAAATAAGTTTTTCTATTTTTCTTTAGAATCTCTCTGTTTGAAGCTATGTTAATATTTTTCCTTTTCTTCTACTTCTTTTGCTCGTGTGTATGCATAGAACGTTCCCTCTGGTACTCTCTGACCCTCAAATGGAGGTGCATTTTGTTTCCATTTAACAATGTGTAAATGTGATGTGTATGCCAAGTGTAAATCCAAACGTGACATCACCAATAATAACACACCTCGGATGCATCGGACGATTGAAAAGGACGAGGTTAAGATCGTATGTATTTGTTATTGAATAAGTATATGTGTGAAACTTGACTATCATATCGGAAGAATACAACGCGAATAAAGGAACAAGAAGTAGGTAGTAGGTAAATTTTAGGTTTAATATTTAAATTCAAAACATGTTGATAATTTATTTATAATGATGTGATGGATGTATAGGCGGAAACGGAAACACTAGACAACGAAGTAAATATTCCTAAGCTGAAGGACAAGTAGTACACGATGTATATGTACGAGCGGCCGGTGGTGGTGCGGGCAGTGCGCGCGATGCGGGCGCGGGCGGTGCGTGTGGTGCGCGCTGCGCCGCTGCTGCTGTGCGCGTGCGCGTGCGCGTGCGTCGTGCGCGTCGCGGCGCAGGACGAGGCGCGCTGGGCGAGCGTCGACGCGCTGCTGCCCGACACGCTCCGACACTCTCTTCCTAATCTCATCCGCATCGTTGGCGACCTGTGTGGGTTACATCATTGTATTTCAACATTAACTAGGTATCTGTCGTTATAATTTTGTAGAAAATATTTAATCTTTTGTACAATTTTACAGGTTTCCTTCCGTCCCATTTGACATCAACCGATGAGTTGTACGTGGTGGAGCACACCGCCGATGCAGTGCGGCGGTACCCGGTGTCGCGCGCGGAGGAGCGCGTGCGCGCGCTGCGGCCGGCGCGGCTGGCGCTGTACGCGGGGGGGTGGGGCAACGCGCCGGGGGACGAGGCGTCGCGCGCCGTCGTCGCCGCGCTGCGCACCGACCACGCGCTCGTGCTCGAGCTGGACACGAGCGCGCTGCGCGGAGAGTACGTGTCGGCGGCGGCGCGCGTGCCCGAGCTCACGCACGCGCTAGCGGGGCTGGTGCTGGGCGCGGCGCGCGTGGGCGTGGCTCCGAGCGCCGTGCACGCGGTCGGGTTCAGCCTGGGCGCGCACGCTGCGGGCGCGGCGGCGCGGGCGGTGTGGCGCGCGGGCGCGGGCAGGCTGGGCCGGCTGACGGCGCTGGACCCGGCGCGGCCGTGCTTCACGCGCGGCGACACGGCGCGGCGCTGGCGGCTCGCTCGAGACGACGCTGCATTCGTGCATGTGGTGCACAGCAGCGCGAGCAGCCTCGGGCTGGCGCGGCAGCTGGGCCACGTGGACGTGTACGTGCGCGGCGCGGGCGGAGGAGGTGCGGGCGGCGGTGGCGCGGCGGCGCTGGTGCGCGCGCACCACGCGGCGTGGCGGCTGTGGGCGCGCTCGGCAGGGGCGGGGGGGTCGGCGTCGTCGCTGCGCGGTCGCCGGTGCGCGGATGTGTCGACGCTGCGCAACGGGACGTGTGATGACGGGGAGTATATTTCACTCGGATACTCGATCTCACCAGAATTACGTGGTATATTCTTGCTCGAAGTAAAAGACATTCCTTGACTGACTGTGCCATACATAATAGAATACCTAGGTATAGATAAGTGTAAACAATTCAACTTTAAGAAATTTTCTACACAGATAAAATTAAACTCGTGATTTATTAGAGCCTCTCGGAGATCCTAAAAGCTTGAAAAACATTAGGTATTACAAAATTTTAATTTTATTTTTTTCAAATGGACATTATTGGACATATAAAGGTATTTTTACATACCTACCTATCTAAAAAAGGTCGATTAGGTACACTTTTTTGTAAACAAAAAACGATTGATGACATAGTGTGGTGACGTTATTACGCCGTGATTAGGTGCAAAAAAGTTTGACTCGCATTTAGATTCTCTCGTAGAGGAAAAAGTATTTTTATTGATCACACACACTTAATTAATATTAATCATAATGGTGCATTTGTGATTTCGCGAAAGATCTGTATACCTACATATATGTAAATGTTGTACCTACCTTCGTATAATGGGTAGATACTACACCGATATACCTAAAATATACACTTCACTGCAATAAACTACAATTTAGCAAATATAAAACCGACTTTATAGCCAACAACATTTAACTTACCTAGTAGATACCTAAGTAAACGACTAAACAGATCTCGAAAAAATTTAATTGCAACTCCAGCAGCAGTTTAGAGTGGTGAATGAAACATTGTAGTTGGCAAACCCTAAACTACAACATTTTACGATGAAATTTTGATTGGGTTTCAAAATATGTAAAAGCGACAAGCGTACCTAATTACCTATACGTAAAACCAAAAATTAAGACCTTCTTTGTGCTTCCCCCACGGCGCCCAGTCGTCTAGTACCTATGTTTGTGTCCCTAATAGCTCAACATAAAGTTCCATCGGAAAATTTTGTAGTCCAGGATTTTCCAACTCGAAACTCTTATATTTCATCTCTCATTTCTACCAGTCTCTTAGCAAACAAAAAACTAATCTCACAAGTGAAAATAAGAAATAGAAAAAATGTCATACCTACATCGACCGGGAATCGTTCGTTCAAAAAACTAATCTTTGACGTTGTATCGTTGACATTCGAGGATAAACATAAGGTTCAACCTACCTTACCCTACACTACACAGCTAACCAAGCCATCATTTTGCCCTAGCTAGCACTACACTACCTTATGATCTAACATTGTAGCGTTTGTCTACGAGAGATGGCTCTACGCTCCGCTACGCCTCGCGGGCGCCGCCGGCCGCCGCCGGCCGCTCTCCAAGTCTCCCTCCACGTGCAGTCAGCTGTGTTCTACTTCGTGTTTGCTTCCACAGATGGCGTTACTTGTCTGTTTGATGCGCACACAAAATAAATACAAATAAAATCCACCAAAATCAAATATGAACTAAAACAATAATCATAAAACCTACCTATCTGACATATCTATATTCATTGATTCATGAAACACCACTGACCGAGAAATATAGGTAATAGATACTGTTTATGTATGTAACATCTTACCACCATGTTTGAAGTAAATAAAATAATTTCAATTTTATAAACATGTATTTCAACTTGATATACCTACCTACCTACCTACTACGCTTCTATGAACAAAAGTTGTGAGAAAACTTTTCCACAAACAACAACCTTCCTTGAATCCTTAAAATCAGCGGAAGTCTAAAATACCTGACACCAATGATATTATACCTAACCCTAACACCAATAAAATACGCATAGCAGATATCTAGGTATCTCCCTATATGTAGGTAGGTACTTAGGTATTTTATAAATCCTATCATCATAAATCATAATGCCACCCATGTTCCACTCCATATGTAGGTACAACTTGTTCGTATGTGCGAGAAAGCATCATTGTACAGCGTTGTAGGAATATTTATTTTACCTTTTTATCTTTATAAATAGTAGCTACTAAGTTTAATCTGATCTAATTAAGCTGATCGTCTACTCATTCATAAAGAAAGTGTAAGGCGCTTTACACACATACATAACGTTCGTTTCGACAGTTAGGTACGACGTTATTTTTGCGCCGCAGCATCGCAGCATGTCCAACGAACGGAACGTTGACAAATGCGTTTGTCGAAACGGACGTTATGTGTGTAAAGCGCATTAAGTATTCTTTCATATCTTGATTTAGGTCGGTTCTACAACCTATGTTCTACAATTCTTGCACATCCTTAATTTTAGTAGGACCTATCGGTCACAAATATCATCTTATAACATCTGTGATCATATGAAGTACCTACTATATAGGATGTCCGGCGAATCGATTGGGTTATTCTGAATCATATGAACTAAATTTTGTATAGTTTGAAGTCGTATGATTTTTAGGATATAAGGTAGGTATATTTTTTAGTCAATTTGAACATTTTCATACATTTTCAAGACCTTTTCAGCTAATAACCTATAAAATTCAAAATAGGATCCAAATTCGATATTCTCTTTCATAGAACCGCTGTAGCCTAGTTGGTAGTGGCGTCGGCAGTACAGATGCTGAAGGTCACTGGTTTGAATCTTGCCTCCGCGGTGGAAAATTTTGCAAGTTTTCTAAAGATATTCGATGACCAGCTCAAATGTCACCCAAGTAGCAACATTAGGTCGTATAACAGTATTGAGAAAGTTTAAAATTATAAGTATTACTTTTAAGTTTATTATATGACTAAGGATTTTTTCAAACATTATTATTGAGATTTATGTAGTGATGCAACATTATTATTGAGATTTATGTAATAACATCAAAATACGGGTTAAGTATCCGGCGGATCGATATAGGTATTTTAAGGGATCATTGGTTGGGTTATTCTGAATCATATGAACTAAATTTAGTACGGTACTAAGTCGTCTAGTTTATTAGATATGGCCAATTTAAGACAAGCCCTTTTCAAATCAAAATTAATAAATGCAATGTTACTTTAGGTAAATGTTTCGCCTATATGATAAAAATTACTCAGGTAGTAAACTGATGCTGTGTTCATGTGTGATCTCCATCAGTGTGATGACAAATATATTTTACGTTTGTAATCAGCTGTTTGCCCCCCGCGGTGCAGGAAGGAGGCGGGGAGTGGCTGCCATTTTTATCGATTCGTGCTCCCCGCGCGACCGCGCGCGTCTGCCCGCGACGACGCGCCGCCTGCAGCGAGCGGTGCACGCTCCCCTCGGGCGTCGGGCGTCGGGCGGCGCCGGGCGGAGGGGGGAGGGGCGCAGGCGCGGTGCGGCGTGCGGCGGCCGCAGTCTCGCGCCCTGCGCTCTCCTGCGCGCACGTTCGCGCGCCGCGCAAACACTTTCGCCCACAACGATCAGCTGATCGGCGCGCGCCCGCGGCCGCATGCCGTGAGGCCGCGATGACGGGCTACGCCCGTAGCGAGGCTGAATTCGCCGCTGCCGACCGCTTCCGGCGGGACACGCGGCCAGCCTCACTCGCTCCCAAGGATTACTCGGTGCCTTTACACGTAGACTGCAGTATCGAATACGAGCTTCCCGACTGTGCCAAGCCGCCGCAGGGCGTCAAGATCGAGCCGTTGCTCATGATCCACCCGTCACACTTCAGGAGGCTCGAAAGCCTGCGGCGGGTGCCGTTCGTGAACAACCTGCCACGCAGCGAGGCTGGCATAGCGATGACGGCCGCAGCCGCGGCTCCTGAACGTGCTCGTGCGCGGCCCCGGCGGTGCTGCCGCGCGGCGCCAGCGCCCCCGGTGCCTCCGCCGGCCCCTGCACAGGCGCAGCGGCAGAGAGCGCCACAGCAGGCGCCAGCACCAGACTACCGCTTCGAGTCGTACGCGGGCGACATAGGCGCCGGCAAGCTGGGAGTCCGGCCGCGGCTCAAACCGCACCCGTACCGGCCCGAGGCCCTGGACTGTGATATGGCGCGCCTGCAGCAGGTGCCCTACGAGCGCTTCGACAAGCGCGCGCTGCAGCAACTGCCAATATATATGTAGTGCGCGCCGCTGGCCGCGGGCTGCCCGCTCTCTGTGATGTTTCGTTGTAATTAGTTAGTGTGATAAGTGCGGGGGCGCCGATGAGCGAACCTAATACCAAATAGTACCTATGTACGTTGATATTGTTTAACGTTGTTTTATGTGTTGTTGTGACGGACGATGTGTGTGTTTCGCCGAGCCGCGGCCGCCTGCCGCCTGCCGCCGGACGCCGGACGCCGGACCGCCGGACGGTCCGCACTCCGCCCGGAGCTGGCCGTGCCGCATTCCTACCTGCCCACCAACGAAAGTATTTATTCGCAGTCGCAGTAACAGAAGCTTCATGGGTAAACTATTACCGTCGCTGATCCGTTGCGTATTTCTGTATTAAAATATCATATCGATATTATTATTGTATATGTTCAAAACTGTATTATAATGAATAATTGAATATGTACCTATAGCATAAAAATGAAAGTGAGAAAAACTAGAAATAGTTATGTTTTGATATAGGTAACGAGAACTAGAAGCAGTCCTGAGTGGTAAACTAGAGTCGTATCTCTACTCTCATTTAGTAAGCAGTTATGTTTGTTAAAATTATATAAAGAGTCCTCTGATGAATAGTCTGATTAACAAATATTCGGCATGTAAAAGTCTTTATAAAACGCTTACTTAGCATATCATAGTATTATATTGTGTCATAGTCCAATGCCAAAAATATAACTATCTTTTTACAAAAATCCTTAAACCTTCGTTTTATTTGTGCATGAGCGCCGTAGCCGTCGGAAGTCTGAATGCACAAACACGCACAGTACGGACCACCACAGCTCACACATACACCAAACCAACCAACATGTATCGACAATATACAAAGCGTCATAATATAAAAAGCGTCAGTTTAATCAAACTACTTCATACATTTTATAAAATTATGACACATCCAACAGGAAATTAAAAAATAAACCGAGAATGTTGCTTTTTAAATGTTTTGGTGCGTAATACTTTGCAATCACTGTTTGAAAGAGATACATTAATTAGTTTTTCTTTAACTGCTGCAGTGAATACTTAACCAACATAACTTATTTCTTACTGTTTAAAAATTTACGCTTACGGTTTAGCTGTTTTGTTATTTTATAAGAATTGTAAGAAGGTGAACCCTTTGCCGAAAGCAATATTTATTTCTAAATGAATTCTCAGTTGTAAACTTAAAAGTCAGTAAGAGAGAGAACTAAACTAGAAATTAATGCTTATCCATGGTAATGTTGTCATAAAAATAGATCTCATAAACATAGAGTTTTCCTATTTTTCATTTAATCCTGACTAAAATAAATAAATGTATGTCGGTAGGCGTGATGTCGGCCATCTTACCAAACTAATGGAGCGTGACTTCGGGTGTCTCGCTCGCTCGCGTACACTTCACTCTGCCAGCGATAAAGATAGCAAGTTCAGTAAACATTTCTTATTAACAAATTATATAGATCTTTAGCCCATAGGTTTTTATTTTAGGATTATTTTTTCATAATGATTACTTTTAAGTAAATTGTGTAAGTGTTGGTACTTGGTCATATAAAGGTCGTGTAAATGGCAAAAAAACATATTTATTTCTTAAAGGCTAGTCAATTTTATTACATAATCATGCGTGTGCTTTTTAAAAAACATTTGTTCGTATTGTCACAGTTGCCAGGTTAATACAAGTTTATTTTATGAAATACTTAACCAAACCACATTTAGTTCATTGGGTAAATTCAACCGGTAACAATTAATTTATCATCATAGGTACCTAATGTTTATTTTGTTACTAGAAAACATAAGTATAAAAATCAATTCCTTTCCTGCAAAATAAGCTTTTTAGGTAAATAATAGAGAAATGATTCGTGTTGTAATGAATTTCTTAATTGAGGTGTTTTTGAATTAATAATAATTAGTAGATACTTTACTTTATTTCGAAGGTAATGCGTTTCAGGCAGTTGCAGATTGCAGACAGCAATTAAAATCCTTAAATTTAGTAGTTTTAAGCTATCCCACAAAAACCTTATTATTAAGAAGTTTTTGACGGGAATATTATTTGATTTCCACTACGGTGTTACGTAAGATAAACTTAATTAATACATAAAAAAAGCTGTATCTGGTAAACATATTTTTATTTTAGGTGACACTCTGAAATCTTCCGACCCCCAAAAATAACCTACCAACCCGGCGCCACCCTAATAATAAAAATAAAAATTGTTTTACAACAGAAACACATAATTTAAAAACACGCATTTATAAAAACACATTATTATGTGACAAAAGGTGGAAGACTCAGCTTTATGAAGAACAAATTCAAATTCAAAATTCAAATTCTTTACATACAATAATAAATATAAAAATAAAAACAATAAACCTTTTGTGCAATTCGGGCGTGTGTCTATAGTATGTGTGTGACTGAGTGTATGTGTGTGTAAGTGGCAAACATTCACAACCGACATTACATTAGACAAGCTGTGCAAAGTAGGAGCCCTAGATACAGACCATTTGAATTTGACAGTTAGGTGTAGAATAGGCAACGTCAAATTAAGAAAAAAATGTTAAGTTATTATATTTTATTAGCTTTAGCGATTTTAGCCACGCGCCAGGAATTGGGACTGTTGTCAAACTTAATAACCACGACTAAAAGCATATTTATGCTGGGACTTATTTGGAGCTACTTATGACGAAATTAAAATGTTTTTAATAGATTTTAAGTGTCATTAGAAAATTACAGGTTTTGGTTAGTCACTGAAGATGTCACTTAGCTCCACCGATGGACTAATTTTAATTTGTATAACATTCAACTGCTTAAGCTAAACCCCTTTGCAACATGTATGCAAAACATGCCACACTGGTAATTGGAGGATTGGTGACGGCAGGAAGATAATAAGTGAGACATCTATCATCATCTGAAATCAGCAAGTTTTCAATTCATTTAGTTACGTGCATCCTCGCCCAAACAGATGGCATTCCAAAGCGAAGACAATGACTGCCATCTGCCATGAAAAGCAAAGCTTGCATACATAGTATAAAAATTGTCGGTAAATTTTTATTTTGCTAGCTCACATACCTATGTATGTATACAGTGAGTGCCCTCCTCCCACTTTGAGCGTGCCGTCGCCCGTCAGCGTCGAGCCATCAGCTGAGCGGCGTCGCCCCCCCCCCCCCTCATCCCCCTCGCCTCGCCCCACCTCGCCCCAGCTTTGATATCAGCTGTGAATCTGTGATGTGATGTGACACGACATCTTTATTTGTTTCCATTCCACAAGATTATTATTTATTTATTATCTAGATAAATTGTTACTTAAACACAATGAAATGGAAATGCACAGCAGTTAGTCATCATTAAAAAAATGTTTTATTGGAACAATAAATAGATATTTTAGTTGATGTTGTGATGGTGATGACAAATATTAAGAACTAGAGCCCAGCCCTGCACTTCATATCGTTATTCCGAGATAAAAATAGCCTTTACAATTTCTTTGATATTGCCTTTTGACAGCTTTACTTTATTTGACGTTGCAATTATTATTAATGTATAATTTATTATTATTGTTCATAATTTTTATTTTTTGACATTAAATTTTGATTATTATAATTGTTTAAAGC